CCATTTCGATTCCATTATTTTCTCGGGCGGGGGGGGGGTGCCATTATTATTATTTTCCTTGGGTCCAAGTTCCATTTTCCCAGTATTGTGGCTTCTATAGAAAATAATGGATCCATTTTCCATTTCGATGCCATTAGTTTTGCCGGGGGGGGGGGCATTATTCTTATTTTCTGTGGGTCCAGGTTCCATTTCCGCAATATTGTGGTTTCTATAGCAGAAAATATCAGAAAATAATGGATCCATGCTCCATTTCGATTCCATTAATTTCTCGAGCGGGGGGGGGGGGCGCTATTATTATTATTGTCTTTGGGACCAGGCCCTCAATAAAATAATGGATCCATGTTCCATTTCGAACCCATTATTTTCTCGGGTGCGTCTTGCGCGATTCTATCCTGTCTATACCGTATCAAGTGCCTTCTCCTGGCGTAGGCTGGTTTGGAGCTCGGCATTGTTCTTTTTGGCTGCTGCCAATTCTGCTCCTTATAGCGAAGAGGCTTAACGAAGCGCAAGGAGGCAACCGGCTGCGGTCTAAAATTCCAGCTAGGGAACGGATGGCTTCCAGCTGCTGTGCCAGTGCATCGTGCTCCTTCGTGAACTCCTTTTCTGGTCAAGCCAATTCCCGCTGCAAGGCAGTCCAACCCTTCGATTCTCCGAGATTGTGCACTATGCAAGCGGGGCTCGCTGAACACAGGCGAAAAGGCTTACAACTGAAACCCGTGAGGCCAAGGGTGCTGAGACGATGTTCTTACAAAAACTCTCGCCTTGGACTCTCTCTACAATGGTGCTCGCGACATCTCTCGGCCCATCAACTTGGCCAGCCTGGCTCGATCAGACAAGCTGCAACTTGCCGCTGGCACTTCTCGTCATGCAACTCTCGGAGCTTGCGCAAGTCCTCCATACACGTTCCAATACTGAAACGATGTTCAACCACTCAGTTCAGGCTGTAGAGCCCGTGTTCAACAGCTTTGGAGCTATTGTTCGTGGAGAGCCTGCCTAAGGCCTAACGTGACCCGACATGGCGTTCTGATAGTGCCAGCATTGCTGTCTGCAGAGAAATGCGACAGCCCAAGACTCGAGAACCCTCAAGTATCCTGACGCAAAGTCTGCACTTCTTGCTGCCGGGCACTGTCTTCGGACTTGATTTGCCTAGCCGGAGGAAACATTACAAAAGAGGGCGACATAATGACATAAAGTATCCACCACGGTGCAGTCGAGCAAGCTCTTCTGGGGCAAACCAAAGCTTGGGGGCTGAGCCTTGGTCTTTGGCGCCTGAAAGGGTTTACAACGAAGGATCGCGGGCACGATGTCGCATGAGATTTAGCATTTTTTGCACCTGACGGAGAACGATGGTGGTGGTGATGGTTGATATGACCATGAAATCCAGGAGCTCTCAACCAGAAGTCTACAAGGAGACTCTTCGCCGCATAGATCCCGCGGGCGAGAACTGCTTTAGAATTGCTGGAAATCCCGCTGCAGGTGTGCATCGATGCGACTGGCATCGCACTCAAGTGCAGTCCAGCTGCTGGAGCTCCGCCCTGGCTTGCTCTGCAAGCTTCGCCTCACAGTAAGCGCGTCTCTTCCCCCAAATCCGCATGCCCGTCAGAAACCTGGAGTTGTATGGCGGACTCAAACTCGGCAAGCTGTCGCAGCGAGTTCTGCTTTTGCGTTGCTGCTGCGGCGGCGAGCATACCTTGCCAAAGTTTTCCAAGCAATTGAAAGGGGCTCACGAGATATAGGAAAGGTGTCTGTGCATGTCTGTCCAGTTGCGTGAGGTCGCTGCTAAAGGATGGGATCAGGGGTCAGAGCCTTGGTCTCGAAGCCGTCACACCCAAGCAGTCGTTTGTGGCCCGATCAACATTTGAGCATCTTAGCAGCGAATCAGCTCCGACCGCAAAAGCTTTGCCATTACCTTCGACGAGAAATTAAGTATGCAAATGCCCCTGGAGAGTCAAGCCCCTTGCCTGCAAGGCCAGGGTATTGGAAACGCAGTGGGTTCTGTGTGTGCTTCCCTGCGTTGGCGCGGCTTCTCAGCTCGACTGAAATTTTCTAGAGGGAGCCGTGACTGTGCGCGGAAGCCGCAATGTGGCTTTGTTCCGCCTTTGCTCTGTGCAGCTGTGGAGCATTGCTTTTCTGCTTGTGCCAAGGCCTCCTTGGCCATCTGGTGCCGGGATTCTGCCTGCGAGTTTCCCCCCGCGCACTAGCAGTCAGCAGCACAAGCCCAAGCTCGCAGCATCGCAGTCATCGCCAGTCTCTTGGCCTCAGATGCCGCGCGCTCGGCCGCAGTTCTCTCCGCTGCACGCCACTTGACCTGTCAGGGCAAAAGATGGAGGGACGCAGCAGCGCAGCCCGCAGCGAAGCCCAGAATTAGCCCTGATTCAAGCAACAGTCTCAGATTGGCCCCGCATTGCTGCAAACCTCGGCTCTCAGCTCATCATCCTTGGCCCTTGCTGCCGTGACCACACGCGTGGCATTTGCCCATTCCTGGGTTGGATTCTTCGGGTTTCTCAGGTGGTGCGCAGGGCTCTGAGAGGCGATCGGAGACGAGCATGGGCTGTCTCTTGATTCATGTTGACTCACTGCCAGCAGATGAGAGTCCGTCTCTGCCGCCGTGCTCTCGTTGCGCATCCGATCCTCAAGAGCAGCGTTTCAGCAAAAAAGAAATCGATGTCAACCTATGGCATCTCTTGTGAACACGTAGTGCAACACGAGTCTTCCCTGATTGCTTTAGCGAACGAAAGTTTGCATCCCCACCCTTCGTAGATCCAGCTCCGAAATGCTCTGCATCTGGGACAATGACTTCGGTAGTAGACTATGCATACTATGCTTCGTCGCATGAGATCTGCCACCTGCGCTTCTCCTATGCCGGGAGTTTCTGCAAGAAGGCTCATGCAAGTTCTCCAAGAGCTTGTCTGATGCCATCGCCCCACAGACTCCAGAGGTTCGCGGGCCGCTGCGTCACTTACACCATGCATGGGATCCGCTCGGGAGTGTCTTTACACACTCCCTGGGCGGAGGGGAAGCTGCCCAAACAGGCGCTTGAACCAAGGGGATGTTTTGCCGGCCCCAGCCCACAAATACAAACAAGACTACAGCAAGGAAGTTGCCTCGCATCGCACAGCTTCTGCCGGATCTCTTTCATCTTGGGTGATCCGACCCAGTTCTCACCTGAGCTCGGGCTAGGCAGATGCTGCAGCCGTAAGGATCCAACACCTCGAGCCCCAAATCGAACTCGATAAACGTGTAGACCCCGAAGAATCCGTGATGACTCTCAGACACCGACCGGGCTTGTCGTCAAAAAGGCGCCCGTTATACGGGAATGAGCCTAAGATGACCAAAAGTGTCGCGTGGGTTTGGGGTCTCAGGTCTCGGGATTTCCACTGTAAGGCTGTAAAGCGAGTTCTTCCCTTCCGCTTCAGCGTCTCATGCACAGCCTTCGGACAGTCACTCAGCCAAAAGCCCAACTCACTCGCCGATGAAGGATCGTACAGGCCGAAGAGTGATTGCGCAGGCTGTTTCCCACATCTGCCAATCTACCCTCGTGGACGCTGAGAAGGCTGAGGACCCCACCAGTCAAAATCTTGTAGGCAATGACCCCCACGGCAAAGATGTCAGAAGCAGGCGAATACTTGCCTGCAGGTTTTTTAGATCATCCAGACGGCATGCCACATGCCCACATCCTTCGAACGCGAGGCGACGACTCCAGATCCCTCAAAAAGCTCTGTAGGCCCTGGCCTTCGTAGGCTTCCGGCGCGATATACTGGTCAGTGCCCAGCACGTGCTTGGACTTGGGGCCTGTTGAGTTCCTCCAGAACGCGAGGGAGGCGTGGAGTTGAAGAATCTGTTGGCTTCAGGCTTTGTATGCAGGGCTGTGCGAGGCCCCAACGTCTTGGGAAGAATAGGTTTGTGGTCAAAGCATCCAGGTCTTCAACCACGGCATCCCGCAGCTGTCGCTGAGGGCCAAGCCACTCTTCAACCGTATCAAAGTCGATCAGTTTGACCTTGTTGGGCGAAACTTTCAGTGCAGGTTGCGGCCCTGTTCTCCGAAAGCCACTAAACTCCAAACCCTGCACTCCAAGCTCCCGAAACCACCAAACTCGACACTATCAAAGACCCCAAACCTCCCTACCCCAACCTTCCGAGCCCTTTGAGCATGCTGAGGCTTTGGCACCAGCACCTGGACCTTTGGCTGCGCCCGGTGTAGGCTCCAGGAGTTCAACTCGTAGTCAGTGTTCTGTTGGGGAAGAAGCTTCCCGTTTGGGGGGCATTGCCCCCCCTTACTCAGGACATTCTCAAGAAACCACAGGCTCAGCAAGCCCTTAGCCAGCACTTGTTATGAGTTTATCTCCTGGCGAGGACTAAGTGCTTCGGAAGGCCTTGGCAAGAATTAGAGTGTTACTAGGTGCTTGCTAAGCCTTTGGTCTTGTGCGGTGCGAGGGGGTCCCGCAAAAGGTGTTCAGGGGGAAGCTCGTTGGAGTCCTGAACACAACGTGCCTGCAGAATGTCTTGGCATGGACGTGGTTGCGCTCGGCCCCGGGCTGGTCGCCAGATTTCGTCGAATGTGCGCAGGACCTGAAACCAAGCGTCGCAACGGAAGAAACGTATCCACTGCCAAGTCTGCTGAGTACCGTGCACTTTGGTCCAGGCTTGTTGAGCATCACGTTCTCTAGCTTCAGGTCCTCCGACCAGGCATAGAACCGGGAAGTTCGAAAAACGCTCGGGATGGTAGAAACCTGGTCTCTCGGGATTCTCCAGGGCTTAAAGCTTTCGGAGTCAGGCCATGCTTGCTGCAGGTCAGAGAGAAGAGTGCAAACCCTCCTCCCCGTACGTCCTGCGTCCAGCGCCACTCGGTGTGAAACTTCCGGCCCCCGCTACCTCTACACCTTTAATTCAGACCTCCACGGCTTGGTACGCCTCGCGCCCGAACCAAACCGAACCTTGCGCAACGCTGCCTTTACACTCTTGTGGGTGTAGCCGTGTCGGTGTTCTTCAGGCCATTGGGTGATGTAAAGTTTTGTCTCGGATCAGCTTTGATACAAGCAGTGCGCAGAGCTCAGTCGCACGGCAGCAGCCCGTGCAGTCGAAGGCAGCTCTACACCCAAGATCAAGATCACGAGAGCAGTTTTATATCCTCAGCAGGGGCTGCGTTTGTCTGTCTTTCGGGCAAGCCTCCCTGTGCTCTGTTTCTGTCTTTTGTGTGTGCTTCTGTCCCTCAGTTCTCAAATCGACTGCGTGCCTTTCTCTTCCTCCTGTCTCCTGTTGGTGAGTCAATGCGAGGGGTACGAGAGTTCTAGTGACTAGTGATTCTAGTGTTTGGGAATTTCTGAATGTCGGCAGGTCGGGAGACACAGCTGGCTTGATACCATCGACAGTCTCTGAGCGCCTTGTGGATGAAGCCATGCGCATGAAGCTCTGCGACTGCCTCAGAATTACCCAATGCATAGCCCACGACCAACCTGCCTTGATAGGCGTACATGCCAATGACAAACGTCCAAACACGAGTTTTAAAAATCTTATAGTTATCATGTCAGCACAGCCCTCGGCATTCTTAGGCATATCCAAGGTGCTGTAAGGAGTTCCTTGAGCACCTCCTTGGCCTTGCGTCATGAAAGTAAACGGCAGTAAACGTGTGTGCACGTGCGTGTCTGGGTTTACGTCTCAGCATCACGAGACACCATTGTTCAGACTCTGGCCTGCATCGCATTTTTGCAGGCTGGGTACTGTTCAATGACAGCCACGACTACGCGGCGTTCTCTTCGATGCTAGATCCGCCCCATCGGTTGGGAATCGGGCACCGAATCACCAACACCCCTCGCCCTCCAAACTCGGAACTGTGCAGTACGAAGGGACCCTTCCTCATTCATCGCAAAGGGAGGGAGCCTGTCAACATGCTAATGCGCCGCGCCGGGTTGCCAACAGAGCTTTCGAGTTGGCATGTCGACGGGCACATTTTTGCATGTTGACGGACCTGGCAACTTTCTGACACGTTGACGGGCCCTTT